TGCTGGTGGATTGTACATGCAAGCCTGATCAATTAAGGTTTAATTGTAATTTCTGCCATTGCTTATGTTGTCTTTGGTCAGGGCTTGAGGAGTCTGCATGTTCAGGTTGGGAGTGTGGACTAGGAACAAGTCCATGGAGATTACCTCCTTGTGCTCCTCTAGGATCATTTCAGTAGCTGGGATCCACGGGGAGGTCCCATTGCTGTTGCTTTCCACCACCATTTTCACTCTGCATAGGCCCCATCAGTGTGCAGTATGGTGGAGGGGCAGGGTGCAAATGGCATGGTCTGTCACTGATCTGGGCCAGCTCCTTGTGATAGGGGACCATTGTCCTTGCTGCATCCAAGACCTTTTTGCTATCTATGCCCCAAGTGCATTGTGACATCAGGGACTTGATTTTGGTTCAGACCTACCTATAGCCATTCTCACTGCTCACCCTGAGCCGCCCTCTTTTTTGCAATATGCTCATAAAACACAAGGTTATGACAGTTGTCTCTTGTGCCATTGGCAGTGGTGGTGATGGTTTTTTCCTCACTCTAGATCCCAATGAAGTCCAGCACTCCATGTCTATCCAAATGCCCTGCAGCTGAGATCTGTCAACAAAGCTTACTATTTTCTCTTCAATGGACAGAATGTCTTATTACATTACCCTTGCTCTATTTGTTTTCCTTTTACTTTGTGGATGTAGATTGCTTAATTATGAGGAAACTGAAGGCACAAAGTTACTTGACTATTGCCCTCTATTTCAAAACAGAAAGTATTTAAAATGAAAAATAAATTATAAGAAATTGAAGTATTGATTGTGAAAATAATGTTTCTATATTTTCATTAGTTTTTGCTTTTTTTTTCCTGAAAAAAAAAATCAGGTAACAAGTAGTTGAAATGACCAGTATTTTTTACCCCTTTAAACATTTTTAACCAAAACATGAATGTTTTAACCAAAAGAATGATGTTTCATCGAATACTTGTTTGTTTGTTTTTTTAAACAGCAATTTTTTCTTTGTAAGTTTGATAATATGGGCTGAAAATACTTATTCTTGTTGTTCAGAAGTGCTTTTAGTAAAAAAAAAAAAAGAGAGAGAGAGAGAGGATAAAAATTGCAAGCAACTCACCAAGGAGCTTTTAATGATAGCTGGATTAATAGGCAATCAGTCTTTGGATATCATCCATGTTTAGTGATGTTGACTTTACTATGTCAGGGCATAAGAGGGAATGTGGAAGACACTCCATCACTCCAGAATAGGCAGTGAATGGGGCAAATTGCCCCAGGTAGCAGGGAGTAGGGAACTGTCCCCTCCCTGGAAGGTTTTTCCCAGCCCTGAGCCCTGATCAGAAGATCAAGGCATGGTGATGGGAAAAGCTGCTGGAGGAGGGAAGAGTTTCCCAGCCCCATGTCCTGATATGCTTATTAGAGTGCTGGGCTAGGAGGCAAGTTCCCCAGAGGTATGATAGTACCCCCACCCACTGGTGCCCAGGCCTGACCCTGGTGCCCACTGCTAGCCTGGGGCTGGCACCTGGGGGACCCTGGAAAACCCTGGGCTGCTAAAGGGAGGCTTGTGTCAGAGCATGCACTCCCAGAGTGCACGTTATTTTACTGTGCATTAAGTTTACAGTGCATTTATATCATGTGTAGATGCATGACACAAATGTGTCATTGCAAAATTTGCTACATATAATTTTAAACTTATTTAGTGTTGGAATGAAACATAGCTGGTCACATAAAAAGGAGGACCTTATCTGGATATAACGGACAAGAAGGAAGATGTAACATGAGGTATTTTACTTTCACCAAAATGACTTCACTCCCAGATAAGGAAGAAGACGTTTCCATTCCCTTTTGCGTTCTGGAGCTTCAAACTCCTCCCTACATGAATAACACTGCCACAGTTTACACAGCATGGGAATTTGGGAAAACACAGAAACCTTAGACTACAATTTTGTTTCTTACTTTCATTTAAGTGGCAGCTTTCTAGCTGAATAAGTGAGATTTTTTATATTTTCATATTGGTGGCGATTCTGCTTCCATTATCATGTGGAGACATAAGTGGGCACGCATAATTGTATATGCTGTTGTAGCTCAGGTGCACCACAGTAAGTGCTTCCTCCTCGAATGGAAGGGAAGTGTTGGCTAGGGAGGAGTGCTGAGAGAAGAAATGGCAATTGAAGTACAGTTTCCCTCTATTCCCTAAAGAGACAGGCTAGGACAATATGAACTTATGAATTTATGAACTTAATACCGATATATTAATAAAAATAGACCAAGAGAGGTATGATAAGAGACATATTTACAAATATGAGATAAATCTATACTCTGAGAGCAGAACCAGGAGGGAGCTATACATTACCACTAGAGGTTCCACTCAGGAACAGGGAAATAATAAATACAGGCAAACACTAGCCAAGAACAGGCAAGTGATAAAGCAGCACAGCTAAGCACAAAACAGAAACAAGTAAATAGTAAACCAGTACAGATAAGTACAACTTAAGAACAGGTGAGTAGTAAACCAATACAGGTAAGCACAAATCAAGAGCTGATAAGCAACAGGTGGGTGGCAGGGAGGGGTCCGAGCAAGGAATCAGTGGGATCATATGTCAATGAATCAACAATTATCATTACACAAGAATAACAAAATTTAAGGCACTATCTTACAAAATATGAAGCGCATAGTAGGGCTGTCTGAAACAGAAGCAATCCGTTTCGACCAGCGTTTCGACATTGCGATGGAACAGTGTTTGATTTCAACTTTGTTTTCCGGTCAAAACGGCCATTCCGTTCCATTCTGTCAAAATATTTTGCCGTTTCAATCCTGCTTCAACGTTTCATCCATAGGATATAATAGGGAAGGTCGAAACAGGCTATAATTTTGTCATTTCTGGCCTGATTTGGGTTGACCTTTTACTAATGGTAGCTATTTCTGAGGGCATGATGTATGCCAAGTTTCAAGATGATAGGTCCAGCAGACTGAGAGAAACTGCAGCCCACAATCTGGAGAGAAAAACTTATATCACATGTATGTGTTAAGCCACAGTGGGGTCAAAACTGCAGGAATGGTAGCTTCTGATGAGGCAACAAAGTCTGCCAGGTATCAAGGTGATAGATGCAGGGGGTTCAGAGAAACTGCACCCCAAAATACTGAATGCAAAACTTATGTCATGTGTACGTGTTAAGACACAGCGGGGTCAAAACTGCAGGCATGCTAGCCCCTGTGGAGTCCACAAAGCCTGTTAAGTTTCAAGGAGATAAGTGCAGGGTTTTGGGGGAAACTGTACCTCAAGCTGCGGACAAGCAGAACTTGTGACATGGGTGACACTGTGTGTGTTAAGGCGCAGCAGGGTGAAAGCTGAAGGGATGGTAGCCCCTGCTGAGGCCACTATGATGCCAGCTATCAAGGAGATCGGTGCAGGGGTTCTGGGTTCTGGGGTCCTGCACCTCTGGCTGCTGACAGGCAAAATTCATGACGTGTGCTTGTGCAACTGATTGCGTCTGTCAACCCCTGCTGTGGCCAAAAAGCCTGCCAGCTGTTACAGAGATCAGTGCAGAGGTGGTCTGGGGCCCAAAATCCCTAGCTGCTGACAGGCAAAACTCGTGACATGGGTGCTTGTGTAACTGCTGCCTCTCATCAGGCAGCAGAACTGAAGGTCGCCCATCACTTAGCACCAAGATCTGGGGGTAATAATTGACCACAGTATGAACATGAGCTGGCAGTGCGATGATTTAACCAGCAGGGCCAACAATACGCTGGCACTGGTGAGACTGCAGCTGGAGTACTGCGTCCAGTTCTGGGCTCCGCACCTTAACAAGGACGTGGTAAAGCTCGAGAGAGTCGAGAGAAGGGCTACCCGTATGATCAGAGACTTGCATGGCAAACCATATGAGGAAAGGCTAAAGGACCTGGGGCTATTCAGTTTGAAAAAGAAAAGGCTGAGAGGGGACTTGGTAGCAGCTTACTGCTACATTAGAAGCATACATCTAGAGCTTGGTGAGCAACTGTTCAACAGGGCAAACTTGGGGAAAATTGGAATAATGGTCACAAACTCCTGCAAGATCATTTCAGGCTCATTTCAGGCTCAAAATTAGGAAAAACTATTTCACAACTAGGGTGTCCAGACTGTGACCATTCCTGACTTGTTAGTGATAGCCACAGGGAAAATGGGGGAATATTGTCTGGGAAAAAAGACTTCTCTGAATGACCTCAGAAATGTTTCTGAATTGACATTATAGAGACTGGACAAAAGTAATTAAAAATGTTAATGAAGTTCTCATATCACACTTTTAAAGAACAAATCAAAATCTGAATGAAAAGTAAGGGCTGTACGGATGTTTTAGCTGTGATGGTCTAGGAAATGAAAGACAGGCAAGGCATTTTTGGTGATATCTTTTATTGGAAAAAATGGATAAGCTTTCAGGAACAGAATATCATCCCTCGGGTCAGTCATGGAAAGCAAATACTTTTGCCAAAATCGTAAGTTGGATATAAAAACAAATCCTTATAAACCAGCTTCCAAAGAATAGATTTTAATACCTCGATCTAAAATGATATGTGGATTTTATTTTTTTTTTAAAAGGCTTTTGGGGCAATAGTAATTTTTACAGATTTTTTTTACACATGGTAAGCTAAATGTCAGAAAAAAATTCACAGTGCTGAGTGTTACTATAAAATGAAAGTAAAAGTTACAAAACTAATTTAAAAATAAATAATTTTAGTTAACTGCAATCTTCACACAGGAAATTTTGATATGTCACTATAATTCACCATATGTAATGAAGCGCATATAACAAAATGATGGAAGAGACATTTTGTATTACTAAAGCACAACTGAGGTAACCTAAAGCCAAAACAAAGCTATTACAATATTTTGCTACCTGACAATAGTGAAAAGACAACTTGTCTTAAGTCTAAGAGCAGTTGTAAAAATCAATGATTTGCCAAGCCAATCATAAGTTAAAACATTCAGAGGAATAATACAGAAACCGTATTCTCCTTTTAAAAATTAAATTCTTAAAAGCTGATCATATTTATCCAAGCATTCAAATTAGCTGTGAAATTTTTCCCACCTATGGCCCTTCTCAGGCTATCCTTCACATCCTTGTTCCTCAGGCTGTAGATTAAGGGATTCAACATAGGGACCACCAATGTATAGAATAAAGAAGAGACTTTCTCTTGTCCCATTGAGAAGCTTGAACTGGGTTGTACATAACTAAACGTAACAGAGCCATAGAGGACAGTGACAGCTGTCAAGTGGGAGGCGCAGGTAGAGAAAGCCTTGCGTCTGCCCTCAGCAGAGCGGACCCGCAGGATGGCATAGACAATGTACAAGTAGGAAATAAGAATGGTCATGAAAGTGGAGGCAGCTATAGCCACAGTAAAAGCTAAGAGCATGGCCTCATTGATGTGGGTGTCAGAACAGGCAAGTTTCAGCAAGGGAAGGATGTCACAGAAGTAATAGCAGGAATCCTTCTGTGGACACAAAGGTACCAAAGAGGAAAGTCTGAGCAATACAGGCACCATAAGAAACCCTTTTGCTCCCTACAATTAAGTCAAACAGCAACCTTGGAGCAAAGACAGATGAATAGCAGAGGTCAATAAAAGATAAATTACTCAGGAAGAAGTACATGGGCGTGTAAAGTTGGGGATTGAACCTGATCAGCAAGATCATCCCGAGATTCCCCAAAACGGTGATAGTGTAGATCACAAAGAATACCATGAAAAGGGGGACCTTCAGGTCTGAACGGTCAGTTAATCCCAGAAGGATGAAGTGGGTAACTGTGGAGTAATTTCCCCCAGCCATTGCATGAGATTGCAAGGACCATAGTGTTCTGTGTCTGCAGGGATAAAGAATTTGATTGTTAAAGGAATAATACTTTGAAATTCCATAAAGTAAATCAGGTTGACAGATTTTGTGTCTGTTCAGGCCATATATGATGGGGCTGCCTATAACAATTATTTTGTTGTAAATGGCAGCTTTCTAAATAATCATCGCTGACTTTTATATAACGGTCTCATCAGATGTCATAAGGCTTTGCCAAAGACCTAAGGATTCTTTTACAAATGGGGAAACTGAGGAACAGAAAGGAAGAAATCTATTCCAATACTGGGTGACCAAAGTGCCTCTTGCAACCTATTCTGAGCTACATGACTGAAGAGTAGGAGTAATTCAACTACCCGTATTGGCCACAAAAGTGCCCCCATGATAGTTATAGGGAAGTGGACATCTGCCTGTCTCCAGAGGGAGTTTGCATTCTTATAATGGGGGGCGCTTGTCTACACAGAGTAGGTAACAGAATAGTTCCTACATTTGATTTGGGTAACTCCAAGCTGGTCACAAGCTGCATTTTGGTCATCCAGTACGTGAATACGATTCTGCCCAAAGCAATTCATCAGGAAAACCTATAGATCATGAGCCCTACTTCAGCAATCTGGCCCTCTGCCCACACTCCCTCCCAGACACTCCAGAATACAAACTGGCCAGGATGGTAATGCACAATCTTTGCTCATGAACTGCTGTCTGGAGGTAAAAAGAGGATTATCATTCCTATGATCCTATGCAATCACACATACACACACACACGCAAGCAAAACACAACAAAACAGGAAGACAGTAAAGGAATTTCACCATCTGTTATGGAGTCTGGGGGGTGGGGGAGGAACTGTATCTAAGCCCCAAAACAAAGAGGCTGCTTCTGTAACTGTATCCTTTACTCTCAACCTCTCTGTGTAGGAAACAGACAATAGAATTTCAAACCTGAAGGTGCTGCTTCTCTAGTGGAGCAGGGAAGTAGGTCTAGTTCCAGATCTGAAATGGTTAAGTCAGACACTGTCTTTGCTTCTGGGCATTTTGCAGTCACGATTCTGCCCAAAGCAATTCATCAGGAAAACCTATAGATCATGAGCCCTACTTCAGCAATCTGGCCCTCTGCCCACACTCCCTCCCAGACACTCCAGAATACAAACTGGCCAGGATGGTAATGCACAATCTTTGCTCATGAACTGCTGTCTGGAGGTAAAAAGAGGATTATCATTCCTATGATCCTATGCAATCACACATACACACACACACGCAAGCAAAACACAACAAAACAGGAAGACAGTAAAGGAATTTCACCATCTGTTATGGAGTCTGGGGGGTGGGGGAGGAACTGTATCTAAGCCCCAAAACAAAGAGGCTGCTTCTGTAACTGTATCCTTTACTCTCAACCTCTCTGTGTAGGAAACAGACTGTTTGACAGCTCACTTTGCTTTGCTGCTTCTCTAGTGGAGCAGGGAAGTAGGTCTGGTTCCAGATCTGAAATGGTTAAGTCAGACACTGTCTTTGCTTCTGGGCATTTTGCAGTCTTCTCTTTCTAGGATCATTGTATCTATCATTTCTGAGAGAATAGGGAAGGGCATCAAGTTCAATTCATCAGCCTTGTAAATGGAACCAGTAGGCTTTCCAGGGAATCAGGAGGCTGGAAATCCTGGATATTTCTAAGTCTCAAACCTGAAGAACCACAGCTTTCTGCTTCAAAAAAAAAGGAAAGTTTGGCAGCCTAGGTCTGGCGGGGATGGGCCATTAAGCATAGCTGGGATCATTAGAGTGCTAGGACCCTGTGTAATGACTCCCAGATGACTTGTGGTCAAAAGTTTCACGTATTCAGTGGGCCTGCCTATTCTTTCATTTGTTTGACAGCTCACTTTGCTTTGCAGAGCACAATTAATCTCAAGGCTTCCACGACACTTCCTCATAGTTTTTTTTTTTTTTTACCATGTGTAAAGTGTGGGAGTTACTAGAATGTAAATAATTCTGATGTCCCACTTTTCTTCAATGTCAACTAATGTGAACAGCTGGTTGAACACTGTTCAACCCTGTGAAAACTGATCTGTATTTTTCCTTTGTTTCAAAATTTCCCCCCCAGAAAATAATAATAATAATAATAATAATAATAATAATAATAATTCCTCGGTTCTCAGGCTGTGTGTCCTTTTTGGCCTTGTTGTTTTAGACAGCCTGTCCGCTGTCAGGGCTCTGAGAAGCTTTGTGTGTGACCCAGGCTTCTTAGAAATCAATTAACCCCTGCTGTCCATCTTGAACCATTATAATGCATATATTTAAAAGGTCTGCTTTTTGGAAATTGGCTTATATATATATATATGTATATATATATATATACCTATAAGCCAATTTCCAAAAAGCAGACCTTTTAAATGCCATTTCTAAGCTAACCAGTAAGGTCAAACCTGCTCTGGCTAAGGGAGTCTTAGAACCTGGGTCTCACACTTCTGGATGACTGCAATGACCACTCAGCTCTTTGGACTAAAACATGGGACTGTTTCTAACATGACATTTTTTAGGGCAGAGTTTTGTAATGTGCACACATACTTAGCTTCAAATCTGCCCAATTCGGCCTGCAGCTAACTGAGACTGTGTAGTTGCCATGTGGATGCTTGCGAATCCACTGTGCAGGGGAAATAGAATCACCAGCTGTGTACCAAAGATTTCACTTGTGTGAATGGAAAATTGTCATTTGGGCATATTAATGGTAGTAGAACTATGCCTGTTGGGTTTCTTGGTGTTGGTATTGGGTTTGGCTTTCCACCACCCAGCCAGCCATAAAAGACCATGCCAGTGGTGCTCAACCTTTTGGTCCTGGAGGTCAGAAGTATGGGTGGGGAGGAGGGTGGTCCATTGGTCAGATCAGACCCCATGTATGAGGATCAGGCCCTGGTGTCTGGCATTGGCCCTTCCTGCCTTTGCATACTGGGATTTTTCCCCAGGGATCTGGCACCATCACCTTCTACCCCAGAGTGCTGGGGTTGGGTCCCAAGGGTCCTAGTGCCCCCCTCTTAACCTAGCACATGCCAGGATGGGATCCTGGGCCTGGCATTGCCTCTACCCAGCCCTGTGTGCTGGGATTGGGTACAGATCAAGCACACAAACCCCAGGGCTTTCCACAGGTCTGGAAATTTGGAGATGGAGAAGCGGTGCTATTTCTCTCCCACTGCCAAATTCGCAGACCCATGGGGACCCCTGTGGGCTGGATAACACAGGACTGTGAGCTGGATCAGGCCCATGAGAAGGTGGTTGAGCACCCTAGGATATGCTAGTACTCTGTTCTTATAATGGCCCAAGACATGGTAGTAATCTCTGACCCCCAGGGTACCTGACTGTTTCGCAAACCATGTGTACCTACCCATGCCCTCTCTATATGTCTAATACAGTCCTTTCCACTTCCAGGACTTTGGTTTCCCTAATACCATAGATTTGCTAGTGGATAATTGTTGGTCCAGTTATGCACAGGGTCTGGCCCAAAGCAGGCTCCTGGATACTGTGGCCTGGGTGACTGGATATTTTGAGAATTGGAAGGATAGACATAAGGAGTAAATGGAGGGCTGGAGGCAGAAATGGATCCAGAGGAGGCTCAGTGGTGTGGCTGCACCTTTTTTTTTTTTGGCTATATGACAGAACAATCAGTTGGAAACTTTTTAAAGTCCTGAAAGAAGGTTTGAAATACCAGCCTCTTCTTTTCCATGCTCCTACTTCCCTCTCTGTCCCGCACCCCTCCCATTCCCTCCTCCTCCTTTGCCATTGCTACTGTTTCTCCACTGTCACAAGGGTGAAGAGAGCTCCTGTCTATCTCCAGCTAGGCTTCATGGGGACTGGGTTCAGCCTGTCTGTGCCAGGACAGTTCTTTCTCACCCAGGACAGCAGAGACATAGCGGCAGCAGCAGGTTATAGGGACCAGAACGAGAGTGGACAAGTTTTTTTGAGCTGTGAGGGATGGTGGAGGAGTCAAATTTTTATCTGGTTTGGGGGCTTAAAAATGTCCCTAACTGCTACTTCTGTGGCATGGTTTATGACCCCAGTGAGGTGGGGAGGAGAGCCTAGGAGCAGGAGGTGCAGCCACCCCTGCAGTACCATTCGCTGCTCCACACCCCCTTTGCAAAATCCTGGATCCACTTCTGGATGGAGAAGGATGGATTGATTAAATTAAGGTAATTTAAATCACTGATTTAAGTCACCAATCCAGAAGCTTCATTTTAATAATTGATTTTTGTTAATTTTCCCGTTATGGTGTTGTTATTTTTTAAAGAAAGGTATATTTTAATTGATTGATATAACAATTAAAATATGTTTATTTCAACTAAATATTTTTTAAAGGAGTTCTGGTACAAATGTTTCCTAGGTATACAAACTAGACACATCTATTTTAAACTATATCTATTTTTTAAAATATGGACATACCCAGAAGAGGCAGCACATTACTTCAACCCAGCTCTGCAGCATCTGCAAGGACCAGGTGCTTTAATGGCACTTTTTTGGCACATTTATCTAATTGCTGATTGAATAAAATTTAGCAAAAGCATGAGAAAGCCCCACTGAAGTGCCCAATCTTTAAAGACAAGCATTGCAAAGTTAGGTTGAAGTAACATACTACTTCTGCTAAAGTGATTTTTTTTAAACATCTACAAAAAGCCAATATAATTAACATTTTGCCCATATTTGTACCAAGCTACATTAAGATGGCAGTTTGAATGTAATTAAACACACAGAACCAGCACTTCAGATTTATTAAACAAAAATTTAATGTTTTGGATACAGAAACTTTTTTTTTAAATCAAAGCATGAGACATATTTACAACTAATTGATTTAATAAATAGTAGAATTGACTGCTATAGTAATCAAGTACAAACTCTGGTTAGTGCATTAAATTAATTATTTCAAATCATTCTGGGGAATTTTTTTCTCAAGTGACTAGGTGAATGTTACTTGAGCATAAGTTCCTAATTCCCTGCTCACCTAGTTCTCTTTTAATGAGAAAAACAAGCGTTCATGCTTTTTCATCTCCCAATTGATTTCTCAGCTTTGAATGAACCCCTTACGTCTAGCTTCCCTTCCCTCCTTTGGGCAGACAGATGGCACCACAGGAGCAGCGGTAGGGGACATTTTTAGAAAAGATGATTAAAATTGGTTTAACCATAATGAGGCCAATTTTGAAAGCACAGGATGCTTAGAAGCAAGCAACATAGCAATATAGAAAAGTAGTGCTAGAAGGGACCTCTGGAGTTCATCTAATTCAACCCCTTACTGGAAGAATAATCATCCCTATCCAAGTCACCCCATACAAATCTTTGTCTAACTTACTTATTACTAAAACTATCCATTCAACCCTGTTTCACAATGATAAAGTAAAGCACCCAAATCTACCACAAATAAAGCATGGTGGCCAGTGTCCTTGTGCAGCAAGGGTTTTTTTTAAACCAGTGTGTCATCTTGCTGTTTCTCAGAGCATCTGGAATTCTTCAGTCCAACTAAGCTCATAAGCAAGAAAGATTTTTTTTTCTAATTATATAAAATGTATATTTCTACTTTAGCAAATACATCTACTTTTCTTTGTAACAACAAGGAAAGGAAGTGAGGTTTTGACTGAACTGGTAATTTTTAACTAGAGCTGGTCCTAATTATATTTCCCTCATTAAAAAAACAAAACAAAACAAACAAACAAACAAACAAATTCCCTTAGCCTACTTAGGTTTGATCTCAGTTAAATCAATGAAATTCTCTCGTATAGGAAGGGGTCAAGACATAAATATAACATCTTATATAAAATGCATGTAAATTTTAGGTAGGAAGAAGAGGGAACAAACCACTGTTATTACACGACTATACTGATAGGACCATAGCCATATAATACTAGGATTTAATTACACTTTTACTCCATGATGTTGAAAATGGCACCTCAGTTTTTCAAGGACAAGTCAGGACTTCCATTTATTTTGTAAAGAACACTCTTAATGCACAGAATTCAGGACAGTGACAACAAACCACATTATTTTTACAACAAGCATTCCTAGCACCTGGCCAGAATAAATATCATACTCAAATTAGCCATGAACATTTTTACCACATATTGACTTCCTTAGATTATCCTTCACATCTTTTCCCACCCTCAAGGCTATAAATCAAGGGGTTCAGCATGGAGATCACAAGAATATAAAGCACAATAGAAACTTTCTCCTGTTCGAAGGAGTAGCTGGAATTGGGTTGTATGGAGCTGAATGTATCAGACCAGAAGACAGTGACAGCTGTCAGGTGGAAAGCACAAGTGAGAAGACTTTGTGCCTGCCTTCAGTTCAATGCATCCTCAGGAAAGCAGAGAGGATGTGCAAATACGGGTGGTTATTCTGTTGTTTGAATGGTTCATGGGTAGATTTTGCTGCTATGTTGCCACTGTGGAGTGCTATACCCAGGTAGCATGCCACTATGGTGACATAGCTGGCGATCACATATAGACACACATGATCACTAGATTGTTGTAGTGCACCGTACAGTGATGTGTACATATGCCCACTAAAACCACAATCTCATTGATATGGATGGTAGAGTATGTAAAGTTCATCATGGGAGGGATGTCACACAAATAATTGATGACACTAGGCCCACAAAACAACATCAGCAAGCCACGTATGTATGCCAATGAGTTAAAAATCCCTCCCAATATCTAACACAGCCACCAGCTGAATGTAGACTTTCCTGGGCCTAGAAATAAGATGGAGGAATGGATTACAGATTGCTAAGTAACAGTCATACCCCACTGCTGCCAGTATATTTCCAGGAACACTGCAAACAGAGAAATTTGCAGCTATGGATGGTTGGATAGCCCCAGGAGGATGAAGTGGATCACCACAGTGTAATTGTGCCAAGACATTGTGGACAATTTCATAGAGCATAGGCTAAGGGCTTTCTTTATATCAGCATGATTGATAGGGCCTGTACAAAGTAGATAGAGAGGGGCTTCCTCCTGCAAATTCACTCAATTTAATTAGCACCTATGGAGAAGGAGATATATATGTATATTCCCAGTTCTTACCTGACATATTAAACAGCTGTCAAAGGGCTTTGCTGAGCAAGCTGGTACAAGTGTTCTTTAAAAAAAAGGGGGGCGGTGGGGGAGGGTTCTAAAGAACACAAGGATGAAGAGATTAATCCAATGTCACTCAGCAGAGCAGTGATAGACGTTGGAGGAAAACACACACCTGCCAAGCCCCAATCCAGTGGCCTCTCCATTAGTCTACACTTCTTTCTGAATCCAGGTACTCCATAACACAAATCTGTCAAAGAACCAATGTGCCATCTTCCCATTTAATATCTGGTGGATATTAGCCTGTGGATACATAAAAGATTTCCCTCTCTACAGTCATCTGACTTCAGAACAAATACCAACAAATCAAGGGAATAATTTCTGGCTCCAAATCAGTAACATCTGGCAGATCTCAAAGAAAAGCAGATGATAATTTTTCCAGGTATGTAATTGGCATGTTAGTCTACTTCATTTAGATAGAGATGAAATACAGAGATTGATACAGATTTGGAAGTAAGTAGTACCTCCATAGAGAAACTTAATGGGAAACATTGAGAAAGAAGCATTTCTTAAGGCCAAAGTAAAGATGCTGAATAGATGGAGAGTAGTATGGGGGTACACCTGTTGTCAAACTGTTAAGCCCTGCCCCCTGACAGGTGACCCATACCCTGGTCACCATCTTAGATGCCATATTGGGAATGGAAGTCCTGTCCCTTGCACTAGAAGTACTCCTTTTTGGAGGGGGTTTGCAGCCTTCTAACCGGAAGTCCCACTCCATGACATGGCTCATGACTTCAGAAGTCCCACCCCCTCTCTGCCATGTTAGCCCCAGATTCCCCTGCCCCAGTCAGATGGTTTGTGACATCAGCAATTCCACCCCCTTGCCTCTATGCTGGCTACCATATTATCTGCCATTTTGGTTCTAGAATTCTATGCCCCATCATATGGCACATGGTAACATCAGAAGGTCCACCCACCCTGCCCCAAAAGCCAGCTCTGCACTGCTATGTTGAACTCCATCTTGGTCCCAGATTTGCTTGTCCTGTCACATGGCCTGTGATATCAGAAGTCCTACTCCCTTGCCACCATGCTGGCCTCCATGTTGGTCCCAGAGTCTCCTGCCTTATTACATGGCCCGTGACATCAACAGGTCTTCCCCTTGACTAAGAAGCACTGTCCCTCATGCTTCATGGCTTGCCCCAGGGCCCCAGAATTTCTGCCCTACTAGGTCACCAGGCACAGTCATGACCCATCAGTTAGTGAGGAGTTGTGACCCTTCTAACAACTTGCCCTACTACCCTTGACCAATCAGCAGGGTTTTCAGGGGTGTTAGACTTCCCCAAGAATGACTCTGAACCAATCATAGCACATCTAGGATCTAGACTGGAAGCCCCTGGTCTGTTTCTTTTCCAAATCTTGTTGGGAAACCCTCTAAAACAGGCTGTGTGTTTTTTTTCTGAGGCCATGCTAATGCAGACAGAAGCAAATATGGTTTTTCAAAGTACACCAGCATGGTTCTTCATTTCTGTTTTACCACCAAGGCTTGACAGATGCCTGCCAAGAAAATGATACTGTGGTGGTAGTTCTGAGGATGGAGAGATTAAAGAGAGTAGCCCCATGCCCAGCAGTTGAATGTGATACTTGGATCAGGGCAGGAGGCCCATGCAAGCCTGCAGCAGGCCAGTGAACCTAATGCCCAGACCCCCAGAGCAGACGCTGAGGATTACAGAGAGCAGGGATGCCTTTGATGGACCCTGAGTGTAAAGAACATGTCTCCACTGGTGTGTGGCTTGAACCATGGATTTGGGGCCCTTAGGGGAGTTGGTATGGATTTTAAGGGGGACCCTAGTCGGGCAGGAATTAGCTATGAACTCATTAAACAATGGCTAACTAGAGGGGGAGGCGGAGTTCCCCTTTGAAATCCCTCTGCGGCTAGATGAAGCCTTTCTAATGATACCAGAAAGACAGCACATCAACAGACTTGTAAACCTGGTATCAGAATAAAAGCAACTGTTTTTGTGACAAACAGAGGTCCAGTGTTTCAGCAGAAAGTAATGATTCTTTGGTGTTTAGAAGACAGTTAGGTATAGAACTATCAGGTCCTCTTTCACATCAGAAACATAAAAGCCTCATGAAATCTCTTATGCATTTTGTTGTTATGGCAGACTGAAATATTATTTGAGAAAGAGACTTTTTTTTTGACTTCATGGGCTGTCTCTGAGCTACACCAGGGCAAGGAAGCCATGATTGTGTGAACTGGATAGATGAGGATATAAATCAGACAATTTGGGAACTTTGAATTGAGCTGTGTATGGAAAACTCTTTAAATCTATTATTGAGATAGGGTATGGTGTGGATTGTCTGAACCTCACTGAGAAACATTTAGCTCAGGGCGTAGCAATTATAAACACTATTCTTTTTGCTGAAGACCCAAAGTCTGCTGTATACAGAGTGAACCATGAAGAGGATAAGCATCTGGTCCCATACACTGAATGCTTAATTGGCACAAGAAATTATAAATCCCTGCTCTGGAAACAAGTTAAACAGAATATAGTATAAAATGTGTGCGGGGGGTGGCACAGTACATTTTGATGGAAATAAAGATTTTTTTTAAAAATGAAATCTCCTTGGTGTCACATGCTGTTGCTTCAGTCTCTTGCGGAGGGGCAATGGGTGAATAACCTACGAGGGTATGGATGGTTGTAGGCATCTGTTGACCTAAAAACCATAACAAAAGGTTAGTTTGGGCATTGTGCTGTACCATTCCTACATAATAAGGGTAAACAGGTTCCCTTCAAAAGGACATGTTCGAACATGCCTGAGGAAATGTGGAAATTTATGGATTTTTTTTATGGGTATAATTAATTAATAGATGTGAATTAAACAGGAGGCTGCCCATTTCCTGCCCCGATGCCAGGGGACATTGTCTGCAGCTCCATTCCTACCCTACACCACATCCAAAGCCTCGCAGATGGCATCTAGATGTCCCTCTAAACACTGGGCCCCACACTGGGCCCCAGAATCCTGCTCATTGAACCCCACCTGGATTCCTCTCCTCAGGCGGTCTCATTCACCTTCACACCGGGCAGCATAGCTCCCTGAACTGACTCCCCTTTGGGTGTGGTACCCCACCCGGGACCTTTGGCTCTCTAGCCCTGACCCACCTCCAAGCCAGTCAGAACCCCAGGCCCTCAGCTCTTGAGTGTTCCTTGTGGTGGGCCCCTGGCCCTTCAACCCTTCTGGTCCTGGCCCCAGCATGGGCCAGTCAGGGGAAGTCCAGACAGGCCTGAGTCTAAGGCCATTTTCTCTCTCTCCAGGGGTCCACCCTCCAGGCAAAGGGGTAACCCACCTAGTTGTGGGGGTTAGGGGTTAAGGAACCCCAACCTGCCTTTCACCCAGATGGAAACTGGCCTGGCATTTCCTGGGGGCTCCCATGCCACTGAGAGCCCCACCAGCCCACCCACTCCTGGCAGGGTGCAGTTTTAAGTCATGCCCAGGATCAGGAGCCTCCTTACCATCCCCTACAGCTCCTCCCTTACCTTCAGATGATAACAACAGCCCTTCAGCCAGGCAATCCTGACTGGAGCTTGAAACTAGGTAAATGCAGACTGGAATTTAAATGCTTTTTTTTTTTTTTTTAATGAATTATAATGATATATTAATGGGCAGCTTCATGTAAGTATGTATATATACACACATATATACACACATATATACATATGTGTATATATACACACATATATACACTCTCACAGATGTACACACTCTCAGAAGTATGTGCATGTGTGCATGTACATTGGTCCATACTGCATGTAGTATCAGGCAATTAACCTTTCTTGCTATGGAATCAGAGGCACTAGTTTAAGCTTTATTCTGTACTATCCAGTTAATTTAAATGTGAATGAGTAAATAATTTCCATTCCAGAGCAAAAGTGGGGGTGTTTACGGCATCTATGCCTGACTGACATTTGGGATCTAACCCATTAGGGCATTCAGGCTAGGCTGCCAGAGACACCGAGAAGGACGCCCAGATTAGATGAACTCTTTTCTCTTGACTACAGAAATCATGTGCCCAGACTACATAGGGTTCAGGGAAACTTTACCCTTCTTCATGGACTACATAGAGTCTGAATAGAGTTAAAAAAGCAAGACTGTCCGTGCAGATAGTCTGCTAAAAGCAAGATTGTCTTTACAGATAACCTGCTAAATGTATTGTAAAAAAGCAAAGTACAAAAAAGATAAAAATTACAAGAGAGAAATTAGTTCAGATCTGGCTACTACATAGACACTTTATTTATTTATTTCCTCTCTTAAGTTTAATTGCTGGTGATTAGTCCTTACACTAAAAATCCTGTAGATGGAGGTCCCCAATGGCTCCATACATGAAGAACAACTTTCCCTCTTGCAAAGCTGCACCATCCGCATTGTACATTTTAATGCTAACATGAACAAAGGAAAGTTGAATAGTATTTCCATTTAGAAAAGTGTTAAGTATAAGAAAGCCATTTTTTGGCCCTCAGTGAGCAGCTTCTGCCTAATCCCGCCTTATATCCTGGTGGAAATCATACCTCCAAATAATTTATTTTTGTATGATGCTGGCAAAGATCCAACTTAAAAATGCAAGGTTGGTGGCAGCAAGGTTTAAGTCTCATGCTTCTCCTTTGGTGTCTTGGATACATTGCCAGTCAATGCATAGCAGAAGATGCCAAAAAGTAAATGACTGAATTTATTGTTATACAGCTTTTGAAAATCTGATTTT